AAAATGACACATAAGCGTCTTCAAGTTATTGCAAACCTTCACAAGAATCCTAAATAAAGATAAGAAGTAAACTGAGATGCCACTAAGGACTAACTGAATCAGGATAAATCTCCCTGGAAATTTCTCTTCCAAAAGGATGAACGTATCTAAATCTTTTCCACAACAGAGTCCCAAGTAGAAGTCAGATGAAAGGATGTGAATATCCAAATTCCAATTTGTGGCCAAAAAGGAAGATGTTGTGTTGGGGAGAACCGAGTCAAATGAAACTTAAAAATAACCAAAATGAAACTAGATCTAAAGCTTTTTATGTGCCAATATATTGGAAGGCTCGAGTTAACAAACAAAATGTTCGGAGTTCATAAAATTCATGTGTGTGATGAATGTAACTGAGTAAAAGAAAAAATTTTAAGGGTCGAAATAAAAACTTCTAAAAGATAAGTAACTGATGAGTTCTCTAAATCTGCTCGATTTATACTATTACAAATAATGCATTGTATAAGCATTGATCCAAGTAATGTCTAACATATATTATGCTTTTATCACAATATTCAATGGTACCTATATGTCGTCGAGTGCCATATGCGAACAGTTCCATCTTCTGAACCTGTAATTATAATAGGAAGGTCCGGATGAAAACAGACTGCAGAGACATTGTGCGTGTGACCTTCAAGTGTCTGGACACAACTCTTCGTTTGGTAGTCCCATACCTGCGTTTATTAGATTACACTCATAAGCTATTCCATATTAACATGAGCCCATTAAAATACAACTACACTTGAGAAACTGGTAAACCAATAAAGACCTTAGCAGTGTGATCGTCAGACCCAGTAATGAGGTAAGGTTTGTCACCTCCTGTGAAGTAATCAACACAATTCACCCCTTTCTGATGGGCATCTAATGTAAAATTAGGATCAGGGGATCCAAGATTCCAAATCTACAAGGAGGAGGCTAAAGAGTTACCAGAGGGTAATTAGAATGATCAATAGAAAATTGGACAATGTGCTGCCACACAGTGATTATTGTACCTTTATTGTCCGATCAAGGGATGCACTTGCAAAGGTATTGGTGTCTTTGGGATTAAATGTTACTTGCATCACATAATGAGAATGCCCCTCAAAAATCTGAGTACACATCCAGCCCTTATCCCAATCCCAAAGTTTTATAAGCATATCATCAGATGAAGACAGTACATAAGGAAGGGTAGGATGAACAGCCACACATCTGATGTAGTCTGTGTGTGCCTCAAAAACTTTTATCTTGTCCATTGTATTATAGTTGTAGACACGAATAAACATGTCATCAGCTCCAGCGACAACCCACTGCTTCCGTGCTATAAATTTGGCTGACCTGACTGCAAACATAGCATTAACGTTGAAGAGTAAAATTAGGCCCAATGAGGAAAGAATGAAAGAAAAATACTGTTTGCCTTTCAGTCCCATTAACCGCCTTGGGTGGGGGTGGGGGGGCTGACAAATTCAAACAGACCATAGAGAAGGCGTATCTATTACCTGGTAACTCAGTGACCTCAAAAGATTTAACCATGGTCTGAAACGTCAATAAAGGGCTAACGTTAATTTAAACTGTCTAAATATAAGGACTAGAGACAAAATCAAACCAATTGAATTTTCATACTAGTGTGGACCTTGTCCAATACCAGATTTTCATACCTGAGACTGGTAGTTCCAGATACAAACGGTTCCTGAATACAGACTTGCAAGTATCCTGCAGTATGATAAAACGTCAACAATTCATCTTTCTTTCCATTGTCCTCATTCACAATAACTAACTACATTTTAACTTATGCCACATTTGATGACGATTTCTTTTTCTTTTTTTTTTTTTTTCTTTTGATATTTATGCTTGTTTCCTCTCAATTTCCTTACAATATGGATATCGCTCTTATTAAAGAAACATTTAGATTCTTAGTCAAATTCCAAAGAGAGAAATTTTCAAAAACTACTTTTTTAGTTTTCAAAACTTACCTTAGTTTTTTAAAACATGAGTAGGCAGTGGATAACAAAACAAATAAACTTACAGATTGGAGTATTGTTTATAAGCTTAACTTTCAAAAACCAAAAACTATAAAACAAATGGTTATCAAACAGGTCTTAGTAATTTTCGCATAAAAGCACAAAACTCATATACCCAAACACTATGCATTGTGATAATCCAACACAATTACTATTATCTTCAGCTAAACTATCAAAACTTTTGTACCCAATCCAACTGAAGCAGTTTCCTTTCCATAACATATTTTACTGCCCCTTCCAAGCAGTTCCTAAAATATTAGACTCCTTGAAGGGTATAAACGCACACAAACGGCACTACTTAAACTCCATATATCTAGAGCGTATAACTTACCATGGCTCTGACGGGTGCAAGTCCACAGACTTTACTCTTTCCGACCTTTGAGCGAGTTTCCTCTAAAAGAAAGGAAAATTAAAAGAACTAAATCATAATTAGCATAAAACCCAGTAAGAAATCTGTTTGATTAAAATGGTTGGTAAAACGTACCTTGATTGCGAGTCTGAGAGGCTGTGGACACGTAAGAAAATAAAACAAAACCAATTAATTTCCACAGTAGATCCCATGTAAATATACGAAATTTTCAATTTAGTAGTCTAAAAACCCAAAAAAAAAGAATAAAAATATGGAAAACCGTGAACAATGAATGATGACCATGTATCTCAAACAAGAAAGTCCAAATCCTGCAAGTCCACTTCCTTTCTATCTCCGTATCCTCAGAAGAGGTAGATGAGATACATTTGAACTAGGTATTCCACTTAATCCATGATAAGCCACTCCTCAACTATAACAACTCAAGAAATAGATCACAGGCAATTCAAGTCATGATTTCACTGTAGGTACAACAGAACAAAATTCCAAACCAAATACCATACCGTAAGCAAAAAACGGGACTAATTGGATTCCAAACTACGAATAGAAAGCAAAGCAAGTTTGGAGAATTGAAATTGAGCAGAAGAAACTAGGAACCACGCAAACATTACAGCAAGAAATACCAAAGCCAAGCAGATTTCAGTCAGATCTAAGCTTCACTAGCACGGTAAAGCAAATTGGAAATGAAATAAGATCGTAGACTACCATTTTCCGCTCACTGGAAGCTCTCAAAGAGATTCGAACCACTACTGTAACAATCCAGACGATCCGTTCCGGAAGAGGGGGGGAGAAATGAAACGGTATGGGATTCGAACCTTGTGTATTTGTCTGGGAGAAGATCCCACGCGGAAATATGAAAACCAGGGAGATCGATAGTTTGCAGTTGACAAAGAATTACAAAACTGCCACTGACGAAGTACGATATGTCGGCATGGATGTGAGGGACGTCCAAATTTTAAACACAAATTAGCTCACAAGTTTTAGAAAATATGTATAATATAAAAAAGAAATTTAAAAAAAAAAATTAAAACTCTATTTTTCCTTTTTTATAAATTAAAAAAAAAACATTTATTTGTTTTATCTAATTAGAACGAAAAAGCTAATTTCAGGAACAACCACAAGTGAAAAAATTACGAGATGATTTAAAGTCATTGAGTTGTAATTTGGATGAAGTGATATGATCGTGTTTAAAGTTTTATAGGTTATGAAAGTGATTGGGGTATGAGCTTTTCAAGCTATGATTTAAGGTTATGGAACCGTGAATTGAGAATGAGCGGAGCGGGAGACTCACAGAAAAGGGAGTTTACCAACTAGTCGGATGTTGAACCCATGATAATTTTCCCGGTACTCCTACGCAATGTCAAAAATGTTGCAATAACATAGAATGATCAACTCCCTCTACTTGACATATCTAGACTACTCTATACTCCAACATGGCTAATCTCGAGTAAGTTAAAGATAGACTTTTTTTTGCTATATCATCGTGTCACTGGGATCTCATTTTAGATAAGGGTTCATGTTGCTTACTCGAAATCAACTTCCTTTCAAGTAGCTCGAGGCTTTTCATAAGCAAAGCTAATTACGATGTTAATGAGATACTAGAAAGTTGTGTTAAATTCCTCACAGAATTGCGAAGAATTGGAGGGAAGGACTTCTTGGGATAGTTGTTCACAATGATGATATGAAAATCATACAAATAAAATATTGATATTGTACTGAGGTTGTGTAGGCAAAGAGATCAATAGTTGAACACTTTAACAAGGCTTGTCGGAAGTTGAAATGAAGGTTGAGTTCGGTATTTGAGTTTTTCCAATTTTAGTATTAGCACATGATGCCTTCCACCCACTTCCAATTTTTAATTTTATAAATAAAATTATTCGAACGAGTTGATGTAGGCCAAGCCACAAATACGTGGATACTAAGCGGTACTAAGCTAGAACTTTACACGCCTTAGCATTTTTCAATGAACGCAATAACCTCGATCATTAAGAGGAAAGAATTGGTCCACGCAACAAAATACGGGATATTAGGGACGGATGAACATATATTGTTTTAGAAACAAATGTTACTTGGAATATATGAGACAAGAAGGGTTAGGCCCAAAAGTTTTCTCTAAGGTTCAATATTGGTCATTATGGGTTAGAGCGATGCTCTTGGGCTCATTAACGCCCCATAGCGAATTAGATACTTCGGGAGATTTCTAAACCTACGTTATACTAGTGCTCATATCGACCATATAAAACTAATTAGAGACAAAAAGGATGAGCCCTTGAGCCAGTTTGACAGATTCATACCAAAACCTACGTCAAGACTTTTATTCTTACTCTTTGATTTCAATAAAGTGTGTGTGATTGTGGAAGTAAAAGAAAGAATCATAGTTCTCTCCTCAGTTGTAGTCTAATTTTGTAAAAGTGATAGAGATGAGGAAGAATCTCATTCCCCATCTGAAAGCACATATAGCATTGAGAATAAAGCAAGAATCCTCCGAACATATTTCCAATCAAGAGACATGTCTTACTACCAATCAAACTGAAATCTTCACTTTATACTTCAAAAGTCATTCAAAAGTACAGCAGAATGCCACAATAAAGTTCCATCTCAAATGCCAGAACTTTCCTGTGCTTGTTTCCAATCAAAACTGTTTTCAAACACAATTTTTTTTTATTCTAGTCAACAAAGCCTTTGAGATACAACAACAAAATGATCTCCAGGATTAACAAGGTTTAATCAAAATCTTCAATGAACAATCAAAACAGATAGATATACTATCATATCTATATGCACCAAAATCTCTCATCTTTTCTACTCAAGACTCACCAACACCAGGAAAGCAGAAAATGGAAAAACGGTAAACTCTGCGATCATCCATGGCTGCAGACCGATTTACACAGACAGCTCTTAGTAAACAGATGATCCTCCTCTTCCTGCCGTGTCGTCTCACCGAACACGGCCAGTGGGAGGGTGTGAAATGAAACTATATCTCTCTGTCATAGAGCAAAAGGGAGACCCATCATGAAGAGATCTTCATGGTAGCTTGAGGCTGCAGAGCTTTCACTATCATCTTTGGAAGTCTTGTCGATTTTATCTTCGGCGAAAATCTCCTCGGAGCTGCACTTTGAACTGCAAAAAGCTTTGCCATCCCTGGTAGAGTAAGAGGACAATCACACAATCAAGAGAAAGTTTGGAGTTCATAAGTTACAGAAATGCTGACAATCAAACAAACCTGCATAAATAAATATCATGCTCTTCTTTCAAAACTTTCTTGCACGAGTAACAGATTTGCACGTTCGCATCCACAACTCCACGATCAAAACCTTCTGAGAAACTTCCCAATGGAGATGATTCGATCCCAGGCTCTTCCATCTTACTGGAATCGATATTTTCATCTGTGTGACATTCCAAAATACAGTCACCAAAAATGCGTGTTGTCTTCGGGTTTGGACCATGAGAAATTATGCAGGTATAGTCCTCGGAAAGTTCTATTTCCCTAGCAGTAAGAGAGCCTACATATGCATTGCTTGCGCCAATAGTTATTGGCAAGGAACAGGATTTGATGGGCAATGAATTTTCCCTTTGAGGGCTACTGTTAATCACTTGAAAACTGGAGTTGCTACTTTCCAATTGAAAATTTTCATCACTTGGATCAGAATCTTGAGTCAAGACAATACCAGAGGAGGAAAAGCTGCTAGCATTTGAAAAAAATGATGCATTATTTTCAAAGGGTTCAGATACTAAAGCAGATAATTCTCCATTACCACAGACACTATTTATGGCTCCAGAGCTGGAGCTTGGAATTTTGGCTTTGGAAAGTGACGAGATTGTATAATTGCTTGGCAAAGAATAAGATTTCAAAGAAGAACCCAAAGATTTGATGTAATGGTTCGAGGATTTAGAGATCTTAGTCTTAATTTGTGGTCCAAAAATGACATTCTTCCTCCGGTTTGAATCCCGAGCTTCGCTGGTTGGTCCATTGTCATCAACAGCAATAGAATTTATGATGCCAAGACCAACCTCACTAGAAAAAAACTTACTTTGACGACCACTTTCAGTTTCAGCTGATGATAAGGATTTAAAACCAAATGGGTTGCTTAGATTGGTAAAAAGCCTGAAATCCAAAGGCGAAGTAGGACTTCTAAGTGAATCACTGTCGACCGACCCTTTCGACCCTAACCCGGCAAAGAATCCAGGAATACTGAACAGTGAGCTGCTTATATGCTTGCCCAATGAGCCAGCTTGTAAGTAGGAGTCTGAAGCAGAATTAGCCATCAAACAACCATAAAAGCTACTACTCTTCCTTAGCCTTATCCAGGAGCATTATTAATTTTTTGTTCCAAACCAACAACCAGGATCGGCTCACTGCATCAATTAACTGCCAAAAACCAATACAAATTACAATCTTCTTGGAATATTGCTTATATCTTTGTAGCAACAAGGATTAAAACGAGAAATATCTATAACAAAAACGAAGAGAAGTCGATTACATAATCAAAACAATTTAACAGTAAGTTTTAAGAATCTTATTTTGGTCTTTGGCGTTCATAACATCCTATTTTTAAACTCGAACTTTAACATAAGAGTCTATTCTGGTCTTTACCTAACATATCCCAATTATACATTCAACAAAAATCTAATTACAAATAGAGGCCTAAGAACAAAACTTATATTATAAATCATATATATCATAATTAGTAGCAGTAGATCCAGAAATAGAGGACTAGAATTTAACAAAAATAGATTTTTATGGAAGTCAAGGAACAAAGTAAGAACTATAATCAAACTTACAAGAAGTATTTAACACTTTCAAGAGTTTGAATAAAAAAGTTCGCAGCATAAAAACGGAGAGTTCTGTTAATTCCATTGAAGATTCAAATTTCTGCAGAAATCCCTAATTACCCGGGCGGTTTTGGCTGTTCCAAAATCGAACGACAATTTATTCGCAAGGAAACAAGAATAAAAAAATCAAAGAGTCAGATATTTCCCAAAATGAATAACAATCAGAAAACCAAACTAAGATAGTACGAGATTTCAAATCACATATAGAAAACTAATTAAAAAGAAATTAACATTTGTAATTCTCAACTCCAGATTAACAAAGGAATTCCAAAACGGGAACAAGTAAATGAAGGCGAGAAGGAAAGCCGATTAACGATTCTTCATCGGAACAATTCACGAAAACTGAAAGGAGGGAAAAGGAAACAGAAATCTTCAGCAAAAGCGCAAAAAAATTGCAGAAAACAGAAACGATGAAGAGTAATGCAAAACAGGGACGATGGATCAGCAATGCAGATTAGATGACAAGGGGAAAAGAGAGGTCACCTGGTTTTGGTTGAGAACCGTCGAAGAAGAAGAAGAAGAAGATGCTGATGATGATGGTGATGGTGATGATTTCGAAAGGCGAAAACAAAAACTCCAAAATGCATCGGAGTTGTTATCTCATAAGAAAGAGTGCCAAAGAGCGGCCAAATCCTGCAAAAACTCTCTTGATTGTTGCAGGTAAACCTCAACTCGGAAGCTTTAATCCGCCATTTTTGGCCCTGTCGAAGGTATCAAAATCAGAGCAGGCAATGAAAGCATCACTCAGCCTTTCTGAAATACCACACTTTCTCTCTCTTCCTTCTCTTTCTCTCTCTAGAGAATAACCATGTATTGTGTATACGCCATTTTGTATAGATGGACGTATATTCCTCGACGTGAGAAAAATAAAATTAAAAAAAAAAAAAGGAAGGTTTTTGTTACGTGTAAGAACTCACACCGAAGATAAAATGCGCACAAGAAATTGTAAGCCTTATTGTTATACTAGGTAAAACATCAACATCATCCATTCCCCCAAAATTACAATTATTAAGGCTAAATTATAAACAAACAAAATACCATAATATTTTAATAAATGTTTTTAAATTATTTTAAAAGTAGAATTTTTTTTAAATTTTAAATAATCGGGATCTCGAGTTAGCATCTAAAATTTTCTTCTAATTAGTTTCGGCTCAAACAAAGCACACTATAAGCCTCTCCTGAGGGCTTATGGAGCTCTCGAATAGCCTCCTCTTAATCGAGGCTCGATTCCTTTCTCTGGAGTCCCCGAACAAAGTACACCCTTTGTTCGACTACACCTTCAAGGCTCACAATTCTTTGTTCGATATTTGAGGATTCTATTGACATTGTTAAGTTTAGGGCATGACTCTGATACCATGTTAGAAATCACGACTCTCTATGATGGTATGATATTGTCCACTTTGAGCCCCAAAAGGCCTCATACGAATGAAGATAGTATTCCTCGCTGATAAACCTATGATCTTCCACTAAATTAACCAATGTGGGACTCACTCCCAATAATCCTCAACATCGTCATGACATAGATTAAAGAACTGAATGTTTTTTCAATAACGACTCCTCTCCTGCTCAATCCCATTCGAAAGTTGTCTGGGATTTATAAGAGGGTAGGATTAGTATGGGTCGTGTTTGGGTTATCTCAGCTCCCAACCCATCTGGATAATTCATGGAGTCTCTTGTGTTGATTTGTCGTATTTCACTAATATCAATTTTGTATCGAAAAAAATTTCAAATTACTAGGAAATATATTTTAAAATTATAAATTGTAAATTTATTGCTAAGTATATATTTTAAAACACGATTTTGGTAAGCCAAAATGTTTGTGGGTCTACCTCGTATGAGGTAGAGATGGGGTCTTCTTGGCCTAATTTGCACATTCATACCTCGTTACGCACACGCACACGTTATCATAATTCTAAAGATTTAAGTAAATTATGATTATAAAGTAACTTAAACATTGTAGACTGTGTGACAAACACTGATGTTCGTATTGTCTTATTCTTTAGGTCACGTCTTCCCTAATCAACAAATTTACTTTTTAAACACATAAAGATCAGGTGAGATCTTTCTCTCTCAAGATTTGGGCATCAATATCAACGTTTATCAAACAATAAACTTTACGCTTAGATGTTCGAGGTTTATTGATATGAAATAATATATGTTGATATCATCTTATCATAAAAATATATATATATATATATATATATATATATATATATATATATATATATATATATATATATATATATATGTATGTATGTATGAGCTTATCTATTTGAATAAACAAAGATTTGAGGCATATGTTTTAATCTTGGACAAAACAAGATGGCACGATTGAGATTTATTTGGCATAATATATAATATATTATATGGTCTATGATTTATTAATATATACAAAGTGCAGTGCAGGCCAAAGCATATATCATTTCTTAATTATATTAAAATGGAATGATCAATTTGTAAATGATTTGGTTTGGTTGTTTAAATAACAATGAATTGATCTTTCGTTGATATCACTGATTTGGATTATTTTTCAAGTTTATCCTTCATTAATGTTTTAATAATTCATTTCTTTTTAATTTTTATATTTGATAAATACCGTTTTAATCGTCTGACCATATCTTATTAAAAAAAGAGGAAAATGAAAACTTTGGTTTAATTTTTTTATTCTTTTAAACTTTACATCAAAATCAATCATACGTGTTAGAGTTAAAGAATATTATTAATTTTCGAATAAAGATAATATTTTTATATTTGTTAACGTATTTACGATAGATATTATATAATATTTATTCTGGCTTGAAAATATTAAATTAAGAATTATATAAATTTATAGTTTAAATTTCATTTTAATTAGGAACAACCATACTCCACAATCGTATGAGATTGTCCACTTTGAACATAATGTGAGATTCCAAATTAGTTGGAGAGAGTAACAAAACATTTCTCATAAGGGTATACAAACTTGTCTCTAGTATACGTGTTTTAAAACTTTGAGCGTAAGGCCAGAAGAGAAAGCCCAAAAATGATGGTAGACTTGAGTTGTTACAAATGGTATCAGAGGTAGACATCAAGTGGTGTGTCAGCGAGAACGCTGGCCCCAAGAGGGATAAATTGTGAAATCCCACATTGGTTGAAGAAGAGAATGAAAATCGGGCGGTGTGTCAGTGAGGACGCTAACCCCCAAGATGGGTGGATTGTGAAATTCCACATCGGTTGGAGAGGGAAACGAAAACATTGCTTATAAAGATGTGGAAACCTCACTCAGGTGGATGCATTTTAAAACTTTGAAGGGAATGCCGGAAGTGAAAGCTCACAAAGGACAATATCAGTTAGTGTTAGGCTTGGACTGTTATACATTACCCATAAGCTTTCGTACCTTTATTTTTTTTTGTTTTTTTAAAAGATTTCATATTAAGGAAGATAGTATCCTTGAGATCTTCTCCTTAATTAATAAATGTGGGACTGCACTCAACCATCTTCAACAATTATTTACTTAATTACCTTAAATTTATATGGTACAATGTTCGTGTTTGACTTTGACTTGAACATCATACTCGTTCTAATATATTAATATACGTAATTTAAGAAATATATATATATAAAAAGACAAAAATAATATTATTCTGTTTGGGGTGGGAAGTCATAAGAAATGCCACCAAATCATATATTTTTTTATTTTATTTTTTACTTTGACTTTAGAGGTTAGAGGATCTTTATTTTTATTTTTATTTTTAATAATTGTATTAATATTTTTAATTGAAAATTTGATTGGTTCAGAATTGAGTTGAAGGAATGGGGACCTTACCACCATACTCTCAGATTTTTCTTTATTAAAAAAAAAAGATAACACTTTTCAAACATGTTATTATTATTATTAATAATACTATTATTATTATTTAAAAATAATTAAAATATCTCTTATCTCCCTAGAATGGGTCAGCAGAAAAAGACAAAAGTAGTGGTGGGTCAGAGCAGTTGAATATTAATTGACCATTATCTACCAATCCAAACACAATTCATTTATGTTTGTTTTGAAAAATTAAAAAAAAAACTGTATTTAATATTTATATTTTGAAATATATATTTTATTGTTGAGTTATAAATGGTATGTTAATTTAAATAATAATTTAAAATGTGTTTCAACGATTTATTTTAGAATTTTATTTGAATCTAAAAACATAAAATAAAATTTAAATTACCTACCAAATAAAAATTATTAATTTAAATAATTAAATTGTTAAAAAAAAAAATACATGAATGATCTCAATGTACTGAGAAGTAGTGCTTGGAAGAATATATTCTTTAAATTTCCTTTTTTAGAAATAGAGACCGAAAAAGTACTTTGGTAATGTTTATATTTTTTTAAGAAAAATAAAATTTAATATATAGAAAATAAAAAATTGTTTTTTACAAACCATTAAAAAAGCAAATAATTTAAAATTAACTTATTATAGACTTTTTAAATTTTAAGAATTTTTTAAGAGAGAAAATTAGAAATTTAGAAAAAATTTAAATTATATATTATTCACAAAAATGGAGAAAATAAAGCGGTAATTTAATTGTAAGAATTAAAATTGGGAATAGGCTGTAAAATAATAAATTGATAGGGGCAGGGGAGCAAATCGGGGCCGTGAAGTAACGGCGTTTAGGGAGCGTTTGGATTAATGATAAAACGGGTCCCACATCGGAATTGCAGGGGGGCCGCCTGCGTAATCATTTCTCCTTCTCCCACTTATTTCTTAACCTTTTCTTGAAAGCCTCCTTTTCGTCGCTTTTCGCAATCCTCAATTTATTTTTATTATTAATCCTTCTATTATTATTATTATTTTTTTTTTTTAAAGAAGCTACAAACGGGGAGAAGAAAAATTAGACTCTATATGTTGCCACGTGTCATTTTCTGATTTGTCCACGTGTGTAATCAACTCCGGATAGGATTTTACTTCCACATCTTATTTTCGACCTAGCTTCTTTGTATTAAGGTTGGATTTGAGCAATTCAAATGGATTGAAATTGTCTTTCCAAACTCTATCATTTGATACTTAAAAACACTAAAATCATGTGGTCATGGGCAAGTGGTTGTGCGTAAAATCGAGCGTAGACGAGGCTTTCGATGCATGAGATATGGTAATTGAGCATGTGAGGCCCTGGATCAGACTCCGTTTCATTCTATTCAACTCCTTTTGACCTGTTTTATTAAGATTGTCCTAGGCTTACTTTGAAAGTTATAAAATGTGGGTCCAATTAAGAGAAATTGTGATAAAATTACCCTATTAAAAGTAAATTACGAGAATAAAGGAGTTAACGATTCAAATAAATAGCATGTCGGAATTCATAAACATGTTTTTAACTTATTTTATATGCGTAAACATGTTGATTATGTGATTATAAGCTTAATAATAATGAGTATTCCTAACTGGCGCATTATCTGCTAAGTTAGGAACAATAAATATTTCTGACCATCGAATTGTACGATATTACAAGTCGCCAAAGAGTTTGGTCGTATTTGATCGAGAGTGAGTCTTCGTATTCAAAAATTGTGATAAGCATAAATGGAGCCAACCGTTTAAACTTAAAGTTAGTTGGAATATCTTATAACGAATAAAATGTCCTAATAAAACTAAGAAGTATTAGTGAATAAAACTGAATAAATAATTAGAAAAATAGTCAATATAACTTGTTGAGGACGATGATGCACTTGAATTGGAGACTTCCGGAGACCCTATTTAGACCCGAGTCCATTTTTGTGTATTTATTACTCTTAATATGCTTTACCTTTGTTTTTATTTATTCAAAAGAGTAGATTACTTTATGGTATATAATTATGAAAAATATAATATGCGTCAATAGTAACAATGGTGATTCAGACTTTCGATGAGCGGGCGCTATAAATTCTATGTTAAGTGATCTCTTGAGAATTTTTCTAAGATGTATGTAAGTGAAAACAAAACATGTTAAAACGATTCGTGTTAGTTGTAGGGATAGTCTTTACTCTTAGAAGTAAAGTGTAAGGAACGTGACAATGCAAAAGGGACGTAAGGGAATGTTAGGGTCATTAGGTGACGAATACCGATTCTGAATCTTAAGCATGAGGTATTATAGATAGAATCAAAGCAGCAGTATCTCTCAATAAAATGTGATTCAGTGACAAACTAAGACGAGAGCGATATTGAGGATAAGATGACTAGAAAATGCTCAAAATAACTAAACGTCATTACTTATACCAACGAAGTGCACCATCCTTTTCAATGACTCTATCATAGAAGCTATTTATGTTGAACCTCTCGAGAAACCCTAAACCCTAAACCCTAAACCCTAAACCTCTCGAAAATTTTCTTAGGACGCAAAACAAGAAAAACGTATTAATTTTTGTTTTTTTTTTTAGGTTTGATTGTGCTAAAAGAAACCTAACCTAATGATTATGTTTTTTCCCCTTTCATATTCCTTACTCCATTATTGTTTCGTTTATTTTTCTAATAGTTTTTGAAAAAAAAAAAGAAAAAGAAAAAAAGAATGTTATTTAATTTCTGTTGAATTTTTTAAAGTTGCGTAAATTGTTTTTATTTGATAATTAATTTTAATATTTTAATCTATTTGGTAAATAATCTTATCTCTTCAGTAAAGACAAAGGTTGAAGTGATGATAAATTATATCACCTATTCACCAACTAAAAATTTGCTTCCTTTTTTCCAATTTAAAGGTCATATGATTATATTTAATTTCACTTTATTTCTTTTTAATTTAAAATTAGTTCTAAGTTAATGTTTTTTTAAGCCATTTTTAATTAGCTAATATCATGATATGCCACCTTTTTTTTTTTTTTAAGTTAATTACTAAAATAAGATATCAAAAGATCTCTTTCATTATTGTTATTATTATTTATTAAAAAAAGTTATTTTATGATTTTTATTTTTGGGAATATACCCATATGATTCCAATTTTAGGTTATTTGTTTTCAAATTTGATATTAAACTCTTATATTTTAAAAATTAAAATCAAATATTTGAAATTTCTTTTGTTTTTGTTATTGCTAATAAAATTTAAATTTAGTTATTGGAAATACACGACAAAATTTAGATATTTAAAAGTACTAGTGAATGAATTCGTGCAATGTGTCACAATTATAAAAAGAGTAGAATGTGACCCTCACGTTGCGTTAAGCAAAGTTTTGCTTGATGACCCTCAAGAGACACTCATTCGACCATGTGGGAGCTAATATAGAAGAATGACATGATATGACCGAAAAAGATATACATCATCCAATACACCATATAACGTGTACATTGAAGAGAAAACGAGACATAAGTAAGATAGAGATAATGAGTAGACATAAGCATCACATATAGACTTATTGAAGGGTCGGTAGGGCCCTAGGCCTAATCTTGAAAGTTGGAGTTTCAAAGCGAATTCGGGCATACGGTTTTAGAGTAAGTCAATCCATATGAAATATGAAAGCTTGCCAAATTTAGTGTCAAAACCGACGCATGTTCAATATATTTGCAATTTATTGATTATAAAGTGATTCTTACTTCAACTATGATCTAAAGGTTTTTGACTTGAAAGAGTGAACTCTGTTGGAAGCCAAAAGCAACATGGGAGATTCTACAAATAATGTCGATCTATAAAAGCCTAAAAGAAACTAGCATGACATCTTTACAACGAAGTAATTGGACTGCAATCTTCATCAACTTTACCTACTGCTTCGAGGATCGACGAGTAAGTGATGGGATCATACTCGAATCCTTTCGACTTCATCTCTCTCATTAGCTTTGCAGCCTCCTCGAACATACCAGCTCGACTCAGACAACTGAGTACGGTATTATACGAAACTGCATCTGGCATGATCTTCGAATGTTTCATCTTTGTAAACATTTCGATCGCTTGCTTTGGGCCACCCGTCCTAGCTAAGCCATTTAATATAATGTTGTGCGAGTTTATGTCTGGTGTGCAACCATTTTCGCCCATGTTTCTCATCAAGGAAAGCGCCTCGTCGATCATTCCAGCCCTAACCATCCCTGACATGAGTGCATTATAAGTATAAACATCAGGGCTGCATCCAAGTTTTTTCATTTCATTAAAAAGATCAACAGCATCACTTAGACGTCCACACTTGCCGAAGTGTTTTATCATCACAGCGTATACCCGAGCACTAGAGCGTCCACAATTCTCTTTCAATTCTTGAAATAGCTCATTTGCAGCTTCGTATCGCTTCGCCTGTCCAAGACTGTTGATCAGGCTGCAGTAAGCAGCTGGACATGGAGGAAACCCCTTTTCATCCATTTCTTCAAGAAGCATTAAAGCTTTCTCAACTCTATTTGTCTTGCAGAAACCATCAATAAGAATTGCATACGTGAACGAGCTCGGAGCAACGCCATTCGCTTTCATCTTTTCAAACCACAAAGCAGCCTCAGAAGCTGGAGCTTTCGATTCAAAGATCGCTTTTATTACAGTGTTGTAAGTGACCACATTGGGTGCACATTGCAAAGAATCCATTTTACCAAAAAGATTTAGAGCATCATCCAAACGACCCGCCCTGCCCAATATATTGATCAAATTGTTTATAAGCACGACATCGGGCTTGCAACCGTCCTTCGACATATTCAAAAACAAACTATAGGCATCATCTACCCTTCCAACTTTCCCAAGCCCCTTTATTAATTCAGTGTAAGTGAAGACAGTAGGAGCACAACCCTTTCCCTTCATCTCCTCAACCAAACCCAAAGCTGCCTCAACCTTATTCAACTTAAAATACATTCCCAATATGGTAGTATAAATCTTTGCAGTTGGATATAAGCCATTCTCTTTCATTTCATCGAACAATCGGAATGCAAAATCATAACGCTCTAGCTTTCCAAACGCAGAGATAAGAGCAGTGTAGGTGATTGTATCAGGGGAGCAATTACCCTCACTGCATATCTCATTGTAGAGCTCATGAATCTTTTCATGGTGACCTTCTTGCATAAGCATCAAGATCAAGGTATTGTAAGTGGTTGCTGTTGGCTTACATTTGCGACCTTTAATCTGGTAAAACACAGACAAAGCCTTGTTTACCATTTTTGCCTTCCCTAAAATCTTAATAATTTCAGACAATTCAGCTGGACTCACAGGACATGGACTACGAACCATGTCTTGGATTGTCCTCCACATTTCACCAACAAGTCCAGATTCCTCTAAACAATGAATTAAAGCCATATATGTAGTGGAATCATGCTGGAAGTTCTTTCTCTTTCCAGCCCATTTGAAGAACTGAATCTTAACCCTAATTTCTACATCAATTTGCAAGACTTGGCGCACTAACCTGTGATCAACTTTGAGCTTCAGCACTTCTATCGCCTTCTCTGCATCAGATCCCCATTTGAAAATTTTCAAAATCCTTATGAACCGCTCGTCAAGAGTTCGAACAGAAGGATCCTTCCGCAGCACCTTCCGATTGATAGGGAAGTTGGAAGCTTCCGGCCTTGGACTAGGCACTCGAAACATTTCGACAATTTCATTTTCTACATAAGAAGCAAAACATAAAGACTAACTGAATCAAAATTTGCATTTATGAATGTGAAACAAAGGAATTCTTCGAAGCTATTACGGACTTTTGTGAGTCACCATTGAAGCAGATGAAAATGAAGCTAACCTGTTTGCTTTATTCTCGCAGAGAGATAGGGCAGAGAAGAGATGGACCGCTTCGAAGAGAATGCTGCGAAATTCATATTTAGAACATTGCCATTGGGGAGAATCAACAAGCACAGAATCAAACACAGATAAATTACGGCGATTGAGGAAGAAGGGAAGGGAAAACTGGCGACAATATTTTTCTCAATGTTCCATTGCGCAAATATACAGGGTCGAATTTGGGCCGCCGGGTTTTAATCAGACCGAACCAACAGAATTTGGACCGCCGGTTAGTCTGTTTGTGGCTCGAGTTGGTTCGACACGCCAATATGGTGAACCGAAGCCGACTGCCTGTGCCTGGATCGAACCACGATTGAACCGCCAGAGTTTGGGTCGAAACTGACGCTCTAGTATTTTCGTATAATCGATCCTTTTCTTTTTCTTTTTTTGTCGCAAGGCGTGAATTTATCTCTCTTTCGGTTCCGGAGCCGGCGAAGGACTTCCATGGACGACGGAATCTCAGAGGAGCTGGTGATGAGTGAGGTTCACCTTGGCTGCCCGCCTGGTTTTTCCGGGTCGTTTGTTTCCAATTTCACCATTTCCCTCCCTTCCGGTTCGTAATTCCATGCTTTCTCTGATTATCTCTTCCATTTTGGTACTGAACTTCAAAGCTGTTCCATTAGCTTGGCATTGCCTAGCACTTAACCAATTTCAGTTTTGTAATTAATGGCGGATGATAATAAGATTACTGACAAAATTATAGGTTTTGATGATTTAGATACAGAACCCAGAACCTATGTCAGTGATTCTGAAGGCTATTCACCGTCTACAAGGCAACTCATTCGTTTCGACGAAGATGGAGATCTTGTTTTACCTAGGCGCCTTAGTCAGTACCCAACTCTTCTCTTCTTTATTTTTCACTTTTAAGTATTGTTGGGGAGGAGTCTCACCTAATTAAGTTGATCATGAGTTTATAAGTTTGGAATACATCTTCATTGATATGAGGTGGGGAAACCAAAAGTAAAGCCACGAGAGCTTATGCTCAAAGTAGACAATATCATACCATTGTAGAGAGAGCTTATGCTCAAAGTAGACAATATCATACCATTGTAGAGAGTCGTGGTTTTTAACATGGTACTAGAGTCATGCCATTAGCTTAGGCATGTCAATAGAATCCTCAAATGTCGAACAAAGAAGTTTTGAGCCTCGAAGGTGTAGTCAAAAGAAGTTTTTAGCCTTTGTTCGAGGGCTCCAGAGAAGGAGTCGAGCTTTAATTAAAAGGAGATTGTTTGAGGGCTTCATAGACCTCATGTGAGGCTCTATGATGTGCTTTATTCGATGGGAGGATTGTTGAAGATTGTTGGAGAGGAGTCCCACATCGGCTTTTAAGGGGTTGATCATGAGTTTATAAGTAAGGAATACATCTCCATTAGTATGAGGCCTTTTAGAAACCAAAAGCGAAGCCATGAGAGCTTATGCTCAAATAACAATATCATACGATGTGGTTTCTAACGTACAAGTGCCAATATAGAGTACCCAAATTTCTTATGCTTTTTGCATTCTTGCATATAGTAATTTATGATTGCATTTTAAAGAGATCTGGAAATTAAGTTAAACTTTTTTCATGATCGCATAATTTCTTTCCTTCGAGTCAAAGTGTTCACAGTAGTTGGTGGGCAGTTATGCGAGCAGCTGATTATAAGCTATATACATCAAATGCCCGAACTGAACAAGAGGCTCCACGATCACAATTACTTGCTGTGCAAGTAATTGATCTGTTATGAATGCAAATTTTACATTTCTCAGTTAAATCCCTTGCATTGTTCCCACTTGAAAATATTTAAATTGAAAATGTGAGTGTTAAAACACTCAATATCCCATCAGTTATTTAATTGCTGAGATGCTTTAACATTTCTATATGAAAACAGATGTGGAAGTAGAACCTTTAGTTTGTAGTTATAACGTGTCGATCCAGCATGATATTATGTCAACGATCCCAAGTGTTGGTTTGCAGGTAATTGTTTCTTATGATCTGTGATTTTATCCATTATTTTTCTTTTATTCATTATATGATTCAGCGTCTTTTCCTCTTTCAGGTGTGGAAAGCAGAGCTAGTATTATCTGATTTTGTCTTGCATACAATGCTTACTTCATCTAAATTCGATGGAATTGTTGCTCTAGAACTTGGAGCTGGAACAGGTGTTTGACGGACGTGCATTCGTGATATTTGTTTTTATGCACATTTGTTACTTTTCTGATTCCTACCATCTTTTTGTATTAACGTACTGTTAGATGAAACAAATTTTCCTTTTTTTTCTTTTTTGAAAGACCACCGTTGACTATATTACTATTTCAATGACAGGGTCTTATCTTGTTCCTCTTGCCAGGACTGGTTGGAATATTGCTTGCACGGGTTGCTAAAACAGTATTTCTAACAGGTATCGGCTATAGCAATCCTCAGAAATTTTGATTTTTTGTTATTCCTTGTTTTCCCATTTTGGAAATGAAACAATCTGATGATCTTGAGTTTCTCTTATAGTTTGATCTTGTTCTGTTCTGATGGATTGAGAAATGTGTGAGCGTGCACACTTTTCTCTTAACATGAAAACCAAAGTAAACTTAACAGTATTTATGTAACAGTCCAAGCCCACCGCTAACAAATATTATTCTCTTTGGGTTTAACCTTTCAGGCTTCCCCTCAAGGTTTTCAAAACGTGTCTGCTAGGGAGAGGTTTCCACACCCTTATAAAGAATGCTTCGTTCCCCTTCTCTAGCCGATGTGGGATCTCACAATTTATGTCTTTAAATATTAGTCAAATAAACCTGTAACTGCCTCTCATAGCTCACATATGTTTTAGTCGGATTAGTTGTGAGTAATAATTAGCTTAGAGGCTTATCTAACTTGTTTTTCACGTATGGATCCATTTCAAGTATTTTTAATGCGAAGGATGTGCTCTTAATGATTGACAGATAAAGGCGATCATATTCTTGACAACTGTGCCAAAAACATTGGTCTTAATTCTGGTGGATTCAGTGCTGGAGTTGCAGTTCATGTAAGGGAACTTGATTGGACAGAACCTTGGCCTCCAAAGCAAACCCGAGGAGAATGTCACCCAAATAACAGGTGATGAAAGCTTTGCAATTCACTATACCTGACAACTGTATGCCTTGGACTATGTTCATTTTTTCTCCCCATAAATGTGTGATTGGTATGTGACTTTAAATTGTTTAGCGATCACTGCAAGTGTTTCTTTTTTCACATTGGTAATATTTGTTAAAATTTTACATAGTGGTAAAAGTTGTTTTTGACCAAATAAAAAAATTTCTAAAACACTTCTTAATAACCCAAAGTGATTTGAGAAATTCTAAAAATAGATTAAAGTAAATCGGTTCAAATGATTTTAGATGAAACATGTAACAGCTCAAGCTCACCGCTAGCAGATAATGTCCTCTTTGAGCTTTCCTTTTCGAGCTTCTCCTCAAAGTTTTTAAAATGCATCTGTTAGATAGAGATTCTACACCCTTCGGGGCCTAGCATCTCACTTACACTTGTTCCCTTCTCTAATCAATGTGGGACCCCCAATCCACCCCCCTTCGAGGCGCAGCGTCCTTGCTGGCACTCATTCCCTTTCTCCAATCAATGTGAGACCCCTCAATCCACCCCCTTCGAGGCGCAGTGTCCTTGCTGGCACTCATTCCCTTTCTCTAATCAATGTGGGACCCCTCAATCCACCCCCTTCGAAGCCTAGCATCCTTGTGTTGAGTGTTCTTGGATGGAAAGGAACTTTTGAATTTCCTTGGGTGATTGCCATAGATCATCGATAAGTAAGTTTTTAAGTAAATACTTCTTTCAAAAGGCTGCCGAACACACACTAAGCAATCTAAGACTTGTGCTCGTGGGTCCGGACTCAGAACATAAAGTAACTGACGTTTCTTTTCTGGTGCCTTCATCGTCATACAGGTATTCCTGGGCCTTATCAGAGGTTGAAGAGGCACAGGGGGCCTGCTTACTTGTTGCTGCCGATGTTATCTATAGTGACGACTTGACAGATGCGTTTTTTAGTATCTTAGAGAAGTTTATGTCTCAAGGTTCAGAAAAGGTACGCATTCTCATGTTGAGATTATTATATTTTATTTGAGGTCTCCAATTGATGGGTTAGGTTAGTAGATAATGAAATATGCCTTTCATTTTATTTTTATATGGAAAAGATGCTAATCATTGACCATATGTTAAAGGACAAATGATATGAACAAACATTTGCTTGAAATAATGCATTATTAGGCAAGGGACATGAAATTTGTATATATATGTGGGGCCTCATATTCTACCACATTTCCTCGTTGATCCTCATTTGAGGAGACAGAGATGAAACCATTGGGGTTGACCCCAAATCACTTATTGATTCTTTGTAGCTAAGTTAGGCATCGTGGAGTTGTAAGGAAACTTACTGCCAATCATTTACTCATTGTCAACTTACGTATATTTCAACTAGTTAAGACATATATTCTCAATCTAACCCACATTGAACTCAAAACGAGATCTCTTACCTACTTTTCTTTGGAATTATGTAGCGAGCTCATGTATTGTCTTGGCTGAAACCATGAGGATGAGTAGCTATTGCGAAGTTTGGTTAATGTTTTGGTTGAACGTCAAATACATGTAATGTTAGATGAATTAATTATCACTTGTACCAAACCCACCAGGTGTTGTATTTGGCTTTGGAAAAGCGCTATAACTTCACTCTGAATGACTTCGACATTGTAGCAAATGGCTATTCTCATTTCCTAAGTTACCTGAAACATGAAGACGGTAAGTGACAGTGACATTCAGCACGTATCTCCGCCTTAAACGTTTCTATCTCGAGCTCATGTTCTACTTTTGGTACTCGACAGATGATCCCAAACACAGCAGCTTGCAGCAGGAATCAAAACCATGTTTTATAGGCAACCGCATTGATCTCGCAAACATCCCACAATATGTCCTCAACTATGAAAGAGGGGAAGATGTAGAAATCTGGCAGATTAAGTATTGTAGGAAAGAGTCTTGAGATCAGAGAAGGGTCATGAACATCTGCTGTAGAACTCACAAATAGTTGCCTGCATTCATAACTCTGGTGAGTTTTCCCTTCAAAACTTCACCAAGAAAATGGGCATCAGTTATCACAGAACAAGGACTGAAGATGTCTATTTTTGTAGACAAAGATCCACAAACAGTCCCAATCTCAGTTCTAATTCTGTATTTTCTTCATTTCGTTTCACAATCTTCCTAATATTTTTTCGTCGTTTCGTTTCGAAATCATTTTGAGGATTGATTTTGCCATTTTTAATAGAGGTTTATAGATCTTTTGGAAAAATCTCAGGGTTATAATGTGCTCAGTAATAATGGTATTTTTTTTTTATCATTTGTAGGTAGAAGATTGAAGCATTGACCTTTGAATGATATGATGAATGATAGGATGATATTTAGTGCATTTGTGGTATTGGCTTGAAGTATTATAAACAATGTTATGAGATATATGATGAGTAGCATTTGGCATTTAAAATTGAATAAAATAACCTCATGCAGCCATGCACTTCTGTATAATGGTTTTAAATTTTTCTAAACTTGACTTTTGTCACCAAAATTGATATTAAAAATTATAATTGACTTGGTCAAATGATTTAATTGAATTTTTTTTTCTTTTTTTTTTTTATTTATTTTTTAGATTCAACCCAATTTTTAAGGTTGTGAAGTTTTTTAATCAAAGCAATATTATTAAATAATAAAATTTGATCATTGAATTAAGATTTACATCTCCAATATAAAATTTGAAAATTTCACATTTAAAAACGGATTTAAATAAAATTAAAATAAATATATGTATATATAATTATAATGTAAAAAAGAAAAAAAAACAATAACTCGAGCAATCCAAACTAATTTTAAGAAAATCTAACAAACCCACTCATGAAATTTTCATTTATTTGAATCCTAACTAACTTTTATTAGTTGGTAATAGGACACTCTAATTATATCGGTCTAGATAAAACATCCATTATTATTTCATATAATTATTAAACTAAAAAAATTAAATGGTACATAATTTAATTATTACCCATTAGTCCTACTTGTTGAAAATGAAAAATAGCTTTTTGGAAAATAGAAAAGAAAGAAAAATGGTTGAAGGCTATATTTTTATTATTTTGGAAAAGTAGATAACTTAACTTGGAAATAAAGCTAAAAAGCTACGTTTTGTCACTAAAAAAAAGAAAAAAAAAAGACTTTTCTTTTTAAAATATATTTTGAATAAATATGAAAAATACAATATTTAAATTTCTCTCCCCAAAATAAAAATAAATTGTTTTTTCAACTTAAATTACATAAAATTTTAAAACACTGATGTATTTTATTTATTTATTTATTTTTGTTCTGAATTTTGTTTTTAATGAAAAATAAAATAGTGCTGAAAAGATTCCCCCATATATAAATATTTATTGGGAAATTCTTTGAAAGTGAGAAACAGGCGCTGTTGTTGTTGTTGTTGTAACGTTCGAGCACGGGTCCTGGAATTACCGGAAATTTCAAGTCTGTCCCAAAACCCATTTTCAAATTACAATTTTCGATTTCCCTAAAATCTCCAATAATCCTTCATGCTCAACCCCTGATTTCGCCGCCGATTTCCAGAGCTGCTTAATGGGTTGTTCACAGTCCAAGATCGAGAATGAAGAAGCCATCGCGCGTTGTAAAGAGCGCAAGATTCATATGAAGGAGGCGGTGACGGCTCGGAACGCGTTCGCTGCTGCTCACTCTGCTTATTCCATGTCGCTTAAGAACACTGGAGCTGCTTTAAGCGATTATGCCCATGGTGAGGTTCAAAATCCCCAATTTGTTCCTGTATCTACTCAACCAAACTCCGCCCTTACTTCCGCCACCGCTGCATCTTTTGAACCCTTTCCGCCGCCTCCACCGCCTTTGCCCCCTTCTAATTTTCATTCTCCTCTTCAAAGAGCGGCCACCATGCCTGAGATTAATCTGTACAAACCCGATCTCAAGCCTGGGTCGCCCATTATTGAGGAGGAGGAAGAAAATGAAAACGAAGGCTCTGTTGGTGCGTTGAGGAGGAGGAGGAGCAATAAAAGTAAAGGAGATGAAGGGAGTAGCCGAAATAGAAATTCGGCGGAGCTTAATGAAGATTTGGCCGGTGCTTCCCCGCCTGTGCCACCGCCACCGTCTGAGAACCGGCATATTCCACCACCCCCGCAACAAGATTCGACATATGACTATTTCTTCTCCGTTGATAACATACCGGTCTCGACTTTGAGTGAAGTTGAGGAGGTACAGATTAACAAAGCGGAGACTGAGCGCAAGTCGTTTGATAAAATGTCTAAGGGAGTGGACAATCATGATATGGAGGAAAGGGGAATTAGTGGAAAAGCTGAGACAGTGGAGTCAGTGCTCGAGGAGCCGGTGGCGCCGCCTCCAGCACCGCCTTCAGTGGCAGAATCCTCTGTGGCGGCGAAGAGCTTAAAGAAAATGAAACAGGGTGGATCTATGGGGGCCATGGATGGCAAGAGGATGGTGAAGCCAAATGTTAATCTTTTGCTGATATTTAAAAATATCGATGATAATTTTCTCCAGGCTTCAGAGAGTGCCCATGAAGTGTCCAAGATGCTTGAGGCTACACGATTACACTATCATTCAAACTTTGCTGACAATCGAGGTATGGATCTTGCTTGGAAGTTAAGCTTTATGATAGCCAACTTGAACACTACATGCTAGAATCTTGAGTAGCTTGGGGGGAAGTTTTTGGTTTTTTTAAGAAGAATTTGTTCTACTTTTCTTTAGGTCACATTGACCACTCTGCCAGAGTGATGCGTGTTATTACATGGAACCGATCATTCAGGGGATTGGCTAATATGGATGATGGAAAAGATGATTTTTATGCAGAAGAGCAAGAAACTCATGCCACCGTGTTGGATAAACTACTGGCATGGGAGAAGAAGCTGTATGATGAAGTGAAGGTATATCAAACACTCTTCTTCATATCTTAATCTTTATGCTTCTATTTTGGCTACTCATTTATATGGGGTTGACCCTGCCTTTTTGCTGCCTTTCTGAAGAGGTTTGCACATTTGATTGTTACTATGGAATCTGTATATTTCTTTCTTGCCTCTCTCTCTGTCTCTTATTATTATCATTGCCTGCTAGACACCAAGTTTGTTGGTTGGTTGGGCAGATCAGTGGCTGGTAGAAAGCTTCTTGGCTGATCTTAGGTATCAGGCCCCAGGTGTGGTTGTGGTATAATGAAACAAGTATGTGGAAGATTATGACATTGAGTATTTGGCGTTTCTAGTCTTTATACATTGTGGGCTAACCGCTAGCCAATATTATCCTTTTTGGACTTTCCCTTTTGGGCTATCCCTCAAGGTTTTTTTAAAACGCGTTTGCTAGGGAGAGGTTTCCACACCTTTGTAAAGAATGTTTTGTTCCCTCCCCTACCGATATGGGATCTCACAATCCACCCCTCTTCAAGAACCAGTGTCCTCGGTTTCACTTGTTCCCTTCTCCAATTGATGTGGGACCTCCCCCCTCTAATCCACCCCTCTCAGGGCTCAGTGTCCTTGCTGGCACACCACCTCGTATCCACCCCCTTTCGGGGCTCAGCTTCTTCGCTGACACATCGCCCCGTGTCTGACTATAATACCATTTGTAATAGCTCAAGCCCACCGCTAGCAGATATTTTCCTATTTAGACTTCCCTTCAAGGTTTTGAAAACGCGTCTGTGAGGGAGAAGTTTACATTGTGACCCTTACAAAGAATGTTTCGTTCTTCTCCCCAACTGACGTGGGATCTCACAAATTACTGCTTCATCATGACCTTCAGCGCTGTCCTCCTGACCTTTGAAGCCTTGAGGTCACAATGTATGCTCGTTCCTATTTGTAGCCCTGTTCTATCTGAACCAATAATCTAGACAGGCACTATATGTTGAGGTTTCAGTTATTTTGTTTGATTTGTGATCCTTCTGAAAGAAATTTGTACTTATATGATGGAAGGAAATTTCTTATAACTGAATTTTCATTGTGATATTAACAATTGACAGGCAGGTGAACTCATGAAATTTGAGTACCAGAAGAAGGTTGCTACATTGAATAGGCTGAAGAAACGAGATTCTAATGCAGAAGCATTGGAGAAAGCAAAAGCAGCAGTAAGTCATCTGCACACTAGATATATTGTTGACATGCAATCCTTGGATTCAACTGTCTCAGAGATTAGTCGTCTACGAGACGAACAGTTATACCCAAAACTTGTTCAGCTTGTTAATGGGTGAGTTGCACAAAACATAGTAATACGCAAATGCATATGCTTTTTGTTTACTATTCATTACAGTTACCTTTACGAATCGATATAATGACTCATGGATATTGAGTTCAAAAATATTGTCGGTTCACGATTTATCTATCCTCCAATCTTATGAAATCCTAGAACATATTTGCTCAACTTTTAAGGTTGTCACGTACATGTTTTTTCAAACCAGAAGTAATGTTTTTTGTTCTGCAGAATGTCATTGATGTGGGATACAATGAGAGCTCACCATGAAACACAATTGAAGATTGTAAGTGCATTGAGATCGTTGGATCTGTCTCAGTCCCCAAAAGAAACCAGCACTCATCATTACGAGCGCACGGTTCAGCTCTGTGGCGTTGTTAGAGAGTGGCATTCACAGTTCGAGAAGCTCGTGCGCTGTCAAAAAGACTACACTAGAGCCTTAAACAGTTGGTTGAAACTAAATCTTATTCCCATAGAGAGTAGCTTGAGAGAGAAGGTTTCTTCTCCACCAAGAGTTCAAAGTCCCCCAATTCAGAAACTCCTCCTCGCTTGGCACGATCAACTCGAGAGACTCCCAGATGAGCATCTCAGAACTGCCATATTCACTTTTGGTGCTGTGATTAACACTATTATGCTGCAGCAAGACGAAGAGAGAAAACTGAAGACAAAGTGGGAGGAGACCGGGAAAGAACTCGAGCGCAAGCAGCGACACTTCAATGAATGGCATAACAAATACCAGCAACGGACAATGCCCGATGAGTTGGACCCCGAAAGGTCTGAAGAAAACACACAGGATGCCGCCGTCACGGAGAAGTTGGTTGCAGTAGAGTTGTTAAAGAAGAGATTGGAGGAGGAAATTGAAACTCATGCGAAGCAATGCCTTCATGTGAGGGAGAAATCGTTGGTAAGCCTTAAAAATCAGCTGCCAGACCTCTTCAGGGCATTGTCAGAGTTCTCCCTTGCTAGCTCAGAGATGTACAAGAACTTGAGGTCTATCTGTCAGGTCTAGATTTGAAGCCACAAAGTTTCCTTGTAAGTTATTGTATAATTTCCTTTCCTTTTCTTATTTTGATCTTTATTTTTACTTCAAACCAAATCCTTTGGTGTTTGCCTTGGAACTCATTTTCATTGGTTAGTAGCTGTGTTTCTTTATTACCTGTTCTTCTCTTTGGTCTCTCGTTCATAGCTTTGTGACTGGTTTGTGTTATTTCAACAAACGAGAGCTGCCATTCCTCCTCCATCAAGCTCTGCTCGTTGATGCTCCGATCACTGCTGCGGGTATGGCAGTGCAACCGCTCGCCACCTTCACGGCCTTCCTGCATTATGGTGGCCTCCTCCCTCGGAGCTTGAACTTGCAGAGTTGTTAGACAGCAGGAAGAGAACCATCTCTTCCATTTTCTTGTCAATTTTTGTTCCTCTGAGAAATTTTGGACGAACTTTTAACTCAATTTTTTAACCTCTCTTCATTTTTTTCATACTTATCTTCTAATTTTATTCTTCCAGATTTCAAATATATTAATGATATTATTAAATTAAATCAATGATATATCAACCTTCCTATCATCTATATATAAGATATATTGTTGAGGATTATTGGGAGTGAGTTTCACATTGGTTAATTTAGTGAAAGATCATGAGTTTAATGTGAGGAATACTACCTCCATTGGTATGAGCCATTTTGGGGAAGCCTAAAGCAAAGCCATGAGAGCTTATACTCAAAGTGTACAATATCATACCGTTGTGGAGAGTCGTGATTCCTAATATGGTATTAGAGTCATGCCCTACACTTAACCAACCTAACATGGTAGTGATTCCTAACATGGTATTAGAGTTATGTCCTAAACTTAACCAACAAAAGGTGTACTTTGTTTGAGGACTCCAGATGAAGGTGTGGATTGCTGATGATTATTGGGAGTGAGTTCCAGAGGAAGGTGTGGATTGCTCATGATTATTGGGAGTGAGTTCCACATTAGTTAGATCATGGATTTATAAGTGAGGAATACAAGGCTCCAGAGAAAGGAGTGGATTGTTTTTTTGGGAGTGAGTCCCACATTAGTTAGATCATGGGTTTATAAGTGAGGAATACAGGGCTCCAAAGAAAGGATGTGTTTATAAGTGAGGAATACATAGCTCCAGAGAAAGGAGTGGATTATTGATGATTATTGGGGGCTCGAGATAACCAACAAAGGGTATTATTATGAGTGAGTCTCATATTAGTTAGATCATGAGTTTATAAGTGAATAATACATGGCTCCAGATAACCAACAAATGGTGTATTTTGTTCGAGGGCTCCAAAAAAAGGTGTGGATTGCTGATGATCATTGGGAGTGAGTCCCACATTAGTTAGATCATGAGTTTATAAGTAAGGAATACTACCTCTATTGGTATGATGCCTCTTGGGGAAGCCTATTGTTACTCATATTAAACTATGTTAGTGCTATTGATTTTATGGGTAACGTGATAAATTGGATATATCTATAGTACATCAACATTCATGTCGGGTAGAGAAGAAAAATATTTAGGTAATAAATATTTAACTTAAAATGAACATAATAAAAAGAAAATAAGTAATATATCAAATTTGGAATTCTTTTTCAGATATGTTGAGACATTTATTATGATTATTATTATTATTATTTTCCTTTTGTAGGTTAGCCTCCATTTTTATTTTGTCTCTCTCTTTTAATTTTTTCCCATCTTATTTTAGTTATTTGATGATTTTAAAATAATTTTTAATCACAAACATTAATAATTGAAAATTAGCTGGCCTTAGAGAATCAGACAGCGGCCAAAAATTCTTAATCACGAGACGATCCTGTAACGAACGGCATTAATGGCGATGGAAGTGATGCCCACTAACACACTAACAGAGAATACATTCCAAAAAAGAAAATAAAAACTTTTACAAATTTACAGCAAAATCCTTCGAAAAGCTGCATGGAACGTTGAAAAGCGGGGCCACCAATGAGCAATTGCGTCAAATTAGCGATATGTTATCACTGTACACTCCCAAACCCACTTTTATACCTCCGCTGAAAGCTCTTTCCGCCATTTCTACCGGCGAGAAAGCATCTTCCCTTTTCCCCCTTTTCTTAAAATCGTAACAATCTGAGCATCTTTTCGTTTGTAATGCTCGTCTGGAGGAATGAGCAGTTCTGTTCTCTTAGATTCTTCCGATTTAACTAACAAGAAATAGTGGGTCATGTTCCATTTTTGATTAATCGTCCTGCTGGTGTGAGTTTTTGCTTTGGATCTTTAATGGGTTGCTCCCAGTCGAAGATCGAGAATGAAGAGGCGATTGCACGCTGTAAAGATCGGAAGATTCATATGAAAGATGCAGTCGCGGCGCGTAATGCTTTTGCGGCTGCTCATTCTGCTTGTGTGATGTCTTTGAAGAACACTGGAGCTTCTTTGAGCGATTACGCTCACGGAGAAGTTCAGAATCCTCAATTAATCGTCAATGGGAGTGCTCAAGCGAACTCGAAATTCGATTCCGTTGCAGCGTCTTATGAGCCTCTAGCGCCGCCGCCGCCTCTTCCGAATTTCCCTTCTCCGCTTCATAGGGCTGCTAGCATGCCGGAAATGAACATTCTCAAGTCCGATCTGAAGCCGGTTGGCCCCATTATCGAGGAGGAGGATGAAAATGAATCCGATAATGATGGCTCTCGTGGTTCGTTGAGGAGGAGAAGCAAAAAAGGTAGCGGTGGTGGTGGGAGTACTCGAATTGGGAATTCAGAGCTTGATGATGAATTAGAGGGTCCTCCGCCGCCAATGCCGCCGCCGCCGATGAATGTGGACAGGCCAATGCCACCGGCACAACACCAGGATTCGACTTACGATTACTTTTTTTCTCTCAACAGTATGCCTGGTCCGACTTTGAGTGAGGCTGAGGAGGAGATTGAAAGAGAGGACGATGATGAGATGGAGGATCAAAGAGGAGGAGCCAAAGAAGCTGAGGCAGTGGAGCCACCGCCACCGCCTGCTGTGGCGGAGCCGTCAGCCATAACGTCAAAGAGCTTGAAGAAGGTGGGGGCTATGGGTTCCATGGAGGGCAGAAGGATGATGAATTTGTTGCAGATATTTGTGAATCTTGATGATCATTTTCTCAAGGCTTCTGAGAGTGCCCATGAAGTGTCCAAGATGCTTGAGGCTACACGACTGCATTATCACTCAAATTTTGCTGATGGCCGAGGTATCAGGATCTCTTGCCTTTTATCTTTCAAGCATGTTGAAGATATCTAGTACAATAATTTAGCATCATGATGTTAATTGTATGAAAGCTATTTGGGTTTGGATCTTCTCTGTTTAAATATTTGTCTAGGTTGTTCGGGTGCCTCAATATTGGTGTCGATTCTAAAGCAATGCACGACCTGTAACAGCCCAAGCTCATCGCTAGTAGATATTGTCCTCTTTGGTCTGCTAAGGAGAGGTTTCCACACTCTTGTAAAGAATGTTTTGGTCTCCTCCCCAACCGACGTGGGATCTCACGATCTACCCCTTCGGTGCTCAGCGTCCTCACTGGTACTCGTTTCCTTCTCCAATCGATGTGGTACCTCTCAATCCTCCCCAACGTTCTCTCTGGCACACCTTCTGGTGTTCACCCTCCTTTGAGGTTCAACCTTCTTGCTGGCACATCGTCCGGTGTTTGCCTCTGATACCATTTGTAATAGCCTAAGTTTAGGCCAGTAGATATTGTTCTTTTTGAGCTTTCCCTCCTGAGCTTTCCATCGAAGTTTTAAAATGTGTCTTCTATGGAGAGGTTTCCACACCCTTATAAACATTGTATCGTTCTCCTCCACAACCAATGTGGGATCTCATAATCCACTCCCTTTGGGGCCTAGCGTCTTCGCTGGCATTCGTTTCCTTCTCCAATCGATGTGGGACACCCCAATCCAACCCCTTCGAGGCTCAGCGTCCTCTCTAGCACACCACCTGGTGTCCACCCCCCTTCGAGGTTCAGCCTCCTTGCTAATAAATCGCCTAGTTTTTGGCTCTGATACCATTTGTAATAGCCCAAGCCCACCGCTAGTAGATATTGTCCTCTTTGGGCTCTCCCTTCCGGGCTTCCCCTCAAGGTTTTAAAACACGTCTAGGGAGAGGTTTTTACACCTTTATAAATAATGCTTCGTCCCCCTCTCCAACCCTCTCCAACCAATGTGGATCACTCTGCTCTATTTTATGTATACTTGGAGGAATGCAAACTAAGCTTGTGGAAGTAAAATTGCTTATATAGGTTCCTTTAGGATAATGTGGGGTTTTGCTTGTATTCATTGTTCATATTCCTGAAGAACTCCACGTCTTTTTGTGTTTTTGTTTTATCAGGACATATTGATCACTCTGCCAGAGTGATGCGTGTTATTACATGGAACCGATCATTTAAAGGACTTTCAAATATGGATAATGGAAAGGATGATTTCTATGCGGAAGACCAAGAAACTCATGCCACTGTTCTAGACAAACTCCTGGCCTGGGAAAAGAAGCTATATGATGAAGTGAAGGTACCTTTCTTATGTTTATGCCCATTCTCCTTGAAAGCGATGCGTAGTAGCCATGAACATTGTGATGATTATGTTTCAATAGGCAGGTGAAATTATGAAATTTGAGTACCAAAGAAAGGTTGCTGCACTGAACAGGCTAAAGAAACGAGGTTCTAATCCAGAAGCGTTGGAGAAAGCAAAAGCAGCAGTGAGTCATTTGCATACAAGATACATTGTTGATATGCAATCTTTGGATTCAACTGTCTCGGAGATTAATCGTCTGCGAGACGAACAGTTATACCCAAAACTTGTTCAGCTTGTTCATGGGTAAGTTCTATGAAATTTAGCTCTATTTGTGAGACCCATGCCTGCCAATCTCTGATTGCTTTTTAAGTACCCTATTGCTGCCTAATGAATTGTGTGCATAATCGTTTTTCATTTCTGAGCGTGTTCAGCTTGGACGTATTGGATACATGATATGTCATTTTAATTGATTGTGATTTCCCTTTTGTTAGGGAGAGGTTTCCACGCCCTTATAAAAAATGTTTCATTCTCCTCCCCATCCGATGTGTGAGATCTCACAATCCACCCCGTTCGGAGCCCAGCATCATCTTTGCTAGCACACCTCCTCGCTGGCACATCGTCCAGTGTCTGGTTCTAATACCATTTGTAATGGCCCACTAGTAGATATTGTCCTCTTTGGGCTTTCCCTTTCGAGCTTCCCCTCAAGGTTTTTAAAACTCGTGTGCTAGAGAGAACTTTTCACACTCTTATAAAGAATGTTTCGTTCTCCTCCCCAATCAATGTGGGATCTCACAATATAGACCTTGGAACATCGGTGAAGATTGAGGGCTATCTTAATGGAATACTTGAGTGGTTTTGATCCATGAACAGTGTTTGTAAACCTGTGTTTGTTATAGTTAGAGATTGAGTTTAGTCTGGAGGTGGGTTCTAACTAGATTTTGGTTAGC